GATGTGGGATTTCTTGTTTGCTCCCAACATGAAGCGTACTTATACGGTTAAGAATTTCCAATCATATTTCTATTCCTTATTTTATTGGATCTGTCTTTCAGAACTACGAACACACACGTAATCTCTTTATTTCAATGGAGCTTATTACTGTGATAATTTGATACTGTATTGTGAACTTTCCTTATTACTCTTGTAAGGATGGGGATCTCTATTCATTCATATTCTTTTATTTTTCTTTCAAGCAATTTTTATCACTAAAGAAGCTGACTTGCCAGGGATAAAAAGTTATACTATACACATCATTAAATATCTTAGTCTTTTTTCACTTACATGTGTGATATATAAGCTTGGCATTTTTCTTTTCTGAATTATGGCTTTTCATTTTCCCTTAACTTTGGTTTTCATATAAATAGGATGCTAAACGAATTATTAGACAATCGGAGAGCTCTCAGTATGCAGACATTCTAGCTCCTTTATTCCGTGCTTTGCAGAGTTATCGACTACGAAATTTGGTCGAGTATTACCTGGCCTTAGAAAAAGCTGCCAAGTATGTATTTTTAGATTGAATTTGCTGCAAATGTGAATTTTTTCCAAATAGTATATGCCCTAATGGTGGAGAATTACATTGCTTTTATTCAGGAATTCCGAAATTGGGAATCAGCATGGGCTTTGGAAGCCTTATGTGTGATTGCATATGAAATTAGGATTCTTGCCAAGCAGGTAAGAGTTACATTTTTCCCCCACTGTTTCCTTTTGAGTAAGTTTTACAAGTGCATGTGTAACGCCACTCTGAAATGACACACTGAAACTGGCATGAAATGGACTGATTTATGTTTTTGTAATTGAAGGCTGATAAAGAGTTGACTTCAATAGGGAAACCCCAGAGAAATTGAAAGGAGCTGGCTCTTTCCTCATGAAAGTGTTTGGTGTTCTTGCTGGAAAAGGACCAAAACGCGTTGGAGCTTTATATGTTATGTGCCAGCTGTTTAAAATTTATTTCAAGCTCGGGACAGTCCACTTATGTCGCAGTGTGATAAGAAGCATTGAAACAGCTAGGATTTTCGACTTTGAGGAGTTTCCTGTCAGGGATAAGGTCACCTACATGTATTATGCTGGTCGTTTAGAGGTGTATAATGAGAACTTTCCAGCTGCTGACCATAAATTATCTTACGCATTAACTT